ATTAGAAAATAAAAACCTCAAATAACTTAAAAAAAATTTAATTGAACTTTTACAAAAAAATTTAATCTACACAATTTTCAGTTAAAATTAAGAAAAATTCAAACATTCAAAGATTGTAACTTGAAACCTTTTCAAAATTCAATTATTATTATCTAAAATATTATCTGAAATTCATATTTGAATCAATTATTATTAGAAAATTCTACGACAATTCAATTATTTAAATACAAAAAAAATAATTTATTGAACAATTAAATTTTTCCTAAAATTGAATTCTCATAAAGAATTTCATAAACAAATTTTGGTAAATTAATAATTAATAATAATTAATTTAATTTAATAATTTAATTTTTTCGACGAATTTCAATAAAATTTTTAATAATAATTTCATTTTTCAAGAAAGTAGATTAAAATTCTATTAAAAATAATTGAATCTCTGTAAAAAATTTGATTGAATTGAGAAAAGTTTTTGAAAATAATTGCAATATTGCCAAGAATATTATTAAAATTTTTGAAAATAATTAAAATATTGCCAAGAATTTTATTAAAATTTTTGAAAATAATTGAAATATTGCCAAGAATATTATTAAAATTTTTGAAAATAGTTGAATTTTGGAAAAAAATTTTAATATTTATAAAGATAATTGAAATTTTGACAATAATTTTTTAAAACTTTTGAAAATAATTGAATTCTTGAGACGAATTTTTTAATAATATTTTTTTTTAAATACCTAATTGAATTCTTTTGTGAAGTTTTATTGAATTAGTAAATATTGAAAATAATTGAATTTTGATAAATTATAGAAACTAATGAAATTTCTACGAAGAATTCTATTAAAATTATTTTGCAAAAAAATTGAATTGTTAAAAAGAATTTCATTAAAATTTTTGAAAATAATTTAATTCTTTCAAGAAATTTAAATAAAAATGTATTGACAATAATACTTATATTCTAATAAATAAATTATAGGAAAGATTTTTAATTTTAAAATAATTGAATTTCTTTGATGAATTTTAATAAAAATTTTAAGAATAATTGTACATTTTTCGAGAAATTTCATTAAAATTGTATTAAAAATAATTAAAATTTTGCGATGAGTTTTATTATTAATTTATGAAAATAATTATAAATCTATAAATTTTTTTTATTATTTATGAAAATAATTGAATTATTGCGAAGAAAAATTGTAAAGGCAACTCTTTTAAAATTGAATTAATTCTGAAATATTTAAGAAAAATTAGATTTCAAGAATAAGCACAATAACTTTAGAAAACAATAATTTTCCAGAATTCCGATGAAAATTCCCTGACTTTTTCAGGTTTTTTCAAAGTTTATAAAATTCCCTGACATTTCCAGGTCTTCCAGGTTGCGTGGCGACCCTGCGATTTTTTTATTTATTTTAATATAATTTTTGACAATTAATTACGATTAAAAAAATCTTTTTTCTCAAAACAAAGATTTTGGTTCAAAACAGTTGCAATTTACTGATAAATAATTAAATTTCAGAAGGTTTTAAACTAAATTTTTTTTAATAATTCAATTGTTGTGTAAAAATTAATGATAATTAAATATTTATTTAAATATTTAAATATTTCTGAAAATTATTATAAATTTCAAATTCTGAAATAATTAGTTTTTTTGAGAAATTTTAATTTAATTATTCTTAAAAAAATATTCTCTTTCAAATTCAAGAAACAATTTGTCAAGTTTGATGGTATAAAAAAAAATTTGTCCCCTTGAAACCAAGAGGCTTTTCTATGATTTCTTCAGGGTTTCCATAATCGAATTTCAGAAGCCTTTCAAATACACTATACAGTTTGGGTTTTGCATTCTGATTAATTCACCTCTATATGATAACTTAATTTCAATGAAAAAAACAGGTCAAAGCGCCTTCTCCTATCCACAATTGATATTCAATTCATGTCGAAGGTGAATAATAAATATATAATCGGAAGAAAAAAATTTTATTATTATTATTAACAGAAAAAAAACCTTCAAACAAAAAAACAACCAAATATAAATAAAACTAATTAAAAATAATGAACTAATTAGGGAAAAAAAATTTAGAAACTCCCGGAAATTAAAAAATACCAGAAAACCTAAAAAAAAAAAAATGTTGAAATAATAGAATTTTAAAGAATTTAGATAATTTGTACAGCTATTTTACACCCATACCTAACAAGAGAGGTTCATATGAGCGAAATGTCTCTTAATTGTAGTTTTAATTAAAAATGTCAAGCTGCAATAAAGACTACAATTATGTATAATTGTCGGAAATTTCTAATTCCTCTATATACTAGATTCAACAATATTAATCAATGAGCTATTTAATTGTATTAATTATTCCATTTCTTTTCTCTCTGAATTTTAATCTTTAAGAGATAGAAAAAAAAGTGAGACATTGGTTCAAATTTCACTAAATTTGATTGATGGGTAATAAAAAGAAATTATAGTACACTATTAATTAATTAATTATCGAGTATTATAAATTATAGAATTATTATTTAATATTTAAACTGAATTATTACCATTTCTTTAATTACGAACTAAACTATTAACACACTTTCTCTAAATTATAGATTAGCCTAATAAATTGTATATAATCACTTTTGAAGTATATTTACAATTTACTTCAATCTTAAATAAATTAAAACATCAATTACTTCAATTTTAAATGCATTAGAAACTTTGTTTATTTATTGTAAATTTTTTAAAACTAAGAGAAATTAGTAGCAAATAAATAGTAATTTTTAGATTTTTGGTTAAAATTTTTAGAAAAATAATATAATGCAAAAAAAATTCAATTCTATTTTATTTAATTTAAATGTAAAAATTATTTTTTTGACATTTAAATTAATCCACATCTAATTAATTTATAAGTAAAAATTAATTAATTAATTCAAATACTAAACTCCAAATTTGCTAAATTAACAAATTGCTAATGAATTTAACATTAATCCAAAAATCAATTAATTCGAGACTTAAATTTTCATCTCGAAATTCGCTTATAAATATAAACAAAATATTCCCAAGTTTCATATATAAATTTAATTTTTCAAAGAAAAAAAATTTTTTTCCCAAAGAAAAATATTGCAAATCCAGCTATGCAAAATAGGAGATTATCGAAATTTTTTTTCTAAATGTCGAAGGTTAAAAAAAAATTCTAATACCTACTCAAACATTTTAATCCAAGCAGTTAAATTTTTTTCCACCTCTTTTTTATTATTTTAATTAATAATTCATAAATCATTCATTCAACGTTAATTAATTTTGGAAAAAAATAAAATTTCAATATTAGAAATCTGTTTATTTCTGTATATAAATACAATCAAAATAAACCTAAACTTTTTCTATACACTTGCGGCATTTGAACCTTTCGTGTAAAAAGATCAAGCCAACAATAACTCCGAAAGGTCAACTTTGAAGTCGTTTAGTGAAGACTCGGAATTATGTAAATATATAAAATAAAATTGTACATAAAAACAATTTTTTTTTCTCCAAAGTTTTTTTTTTCTATACCAAATTGGCAAATGGAAAAGTTTGTATGGAAAAAACTATTTAAAAACTTTATGAATTATGAGAAAGAAAAAAGGGGGAAAAAATTGTCTTGATAATTAAGTACTTTGTAGTGAATATATTTGATAAATAAATAAAATAATAAAACAAATAAATAAAATAATAATAATAAAATTATTTTATTTGCAAAGTTTTTTTAATTTAAGGAATAAAATTATTTTCTTTGCAAAGTTTTTTTAACTTAAGGAATAAAAAAAGTAAATAAATAAATAAATTATAATTTCAGAAATGTATACCTAGTAAATAATACAAGACAAACAAATAATTAGCACGTTTTTCAATCTCATTAAAAATTCGTAAACAACGAAATTAAAATCAACAGAGTGATTCACTGAAAAACATCAGAAAATTTATTCGAGGGAACAACGATCGGAAAAGAGCAATTTTCTGTCAATCTTTTTTTTGCTTTCTCTCACCAGATTCTGAATCATGACTACGAATTCTAAAATGAGGTTAGAATGCAAGTGAAAATAGAAAATTTCAATTTGCCGTAATAGCTCTAATTGCAAATTGAAATTAAAGGACGATTCTCTCGAAGAAATATCAAAACTCTCACATGTGCTTCATACGAATATTAGACGATGATTGTATTTTCCAAATGATAAACATGATTTATGAATAGTTTTCCAAATTAAAAACAAGCAAAATAATGTTGAACCTATACACGCGAGGAAAGAATCCCACATATAAGAGACAATGAAAAGTAATCGAAAGATTAATTATAATCACCGCGTGTGTATATAAAATCGTCGGAGCGCATTCAATAAAAGTAGGACGATTTTCATATTATGTACATCTCGAAACTTTCTGATTTATATTCTCAATTCTGATCATTTCATCAAATATAAGGTACTTTTCATTATTTGCGATAAATCAACATAAACAATCGTTCGTGTTCGATTGATGTCCCAAGAAACATTGCGGGGAAAAAATATAATCAACTTTGTCAAACGATAATTGTACGCACAAATAATATTTTTCAATTATTAAGTAAACTTAATTCACGGAAAAAAGCTTCAATCGAAACAGCGATAAGTTTTTCTAAACTAGCGAAAGTTTTAACTGTAACAACTAAAAATTTCCCAAATATAGTGAAAATAGTAAAATCTTCCACTTTTTTTTTTAGCAAATTGAGACAAAAAACGACGCAAATGTTGCTTCGCAACACTTTTGATTCGTTTTTTGTCTCAATTTGCTAAAAAAAGTGGAAAGGCAAAAATTTATCAAAAAAAAAAAGAAAAAACAATAACAAATTAAGTAAACAAAAGAAAAACAAATTCTATCGATAATATTATTTACTAACTATTAAAACAAAAAAAGTATATTTTTCGAAATTGAAACAGCAAAAAAATAAACAAGTGTAATTTGAAACTTTGACAAAATAGATTATTGAAAATTACAGAAATTAAAAAAAAATACTCACAAATCCCAAGTATCGGGGAATTTATAACAAAAAAAAGAATCCTTAATTAACAATCTTTTTTGGAAAGGAAAAAACAAATTCACTTTTTTGGAGCACTGGAAGTACGACACCAACTTCGTAGAACGGAAGACACTTCACAACGTTCGAAACAACACTGATAATACCGGCGAGCAATTCTCTTCGAGTACTACAAGAGGGAAGGGCGCAATGAAGGAGATGAAACCACGTTAGAATTTTTGAATTCGAGAGAGAAAGGTGAGACCAAGGGAGGAGGAATGTGTTTATATCAAGAGGTGGTATAGAAGAGAGAATGAGAGTGAGTGAGTGAGTGAGGGAGAGAGAGAGAGAGAGAGAGAGAAAGATTGAATATCAAAACCACAACAAACGCCAATGTGTCAGGAATAAATACATTAAAATGAATCGAGCCAATCGAAAGGTTATAATAAAACGACCACATAGGAAAGACAAAAACGAACCAGAAAGGCGAAGAAATTTTGTAATTAATAAACATGACTACTACGGGTCAAAATAGAAAATGACGATTAAAATTTAACTTCTAAATTGAGAGAAGAAATTGATAAAATATGATGAGTAATTAATAAAACTATCACAATTGCCAAAAATGACAGGGTTGACACAAAAATTTTATTTTATTTTATTTTTCCCTGACTTTTCCCTGATATCAAGACAAAATGTTGACTTTTTCCCTGACCCTAGAGAATTTATACTATGATTCACTCTAAACATGATTAGATACTCAAAAAAATGTTCTCTTACATTTATTATTATTATTATTTTATTATTATTATTTTTCCAGAGGAATTAAAATTTTCAAAAATTTCAAATTCAAACCTTTTTGAAATTCAACAACTTATATGACCGAGCGATAATATAGTTATTTTATATTATAAGAATATTATTACTGTAATTTCTTCAAAATTATTTTCATCATTTCAATTTAATTATTATTATTTAAAGAATTTTTAACTAAAATTTTTCTTTAAATTAATTATTTTAATAACTTTTGACAATGTTCTTTGAGAATTTTCAAATCCATTTGTTTACAATTCAATTTTATAGAATTTCGATTACTCGGAAATTCTTCAATTAAATATATATTAGAAAATAAAAACTTCAAAAAATTTCAAAAAAAAAAAAAAAATTCATTAAACTCTTTCAAAGAAATTAATTCTACAAAATTGTTAGTTAAAAATATGAAAAATTAAAATTTTTAAAGATTTTATTTTGAAACCTTTTCAAAATTCAATTATTTTTAAAAATTGAAACGTTTTATTAAAATTTATTAAACAATCGAATCATTTCGATAAATTTCAATAAAATTTTTAAGAATAATTACATTTTTTGACGAAGTTAATTCAAATTTTATTAAAAATAATTGCTAAAATTAAAAAGAAATTTTAAAAGAAAAAAGAATTTTATTATTTATGAAAATAATTGATTCCCTGTAAAAAATGTTAATATTTATGAAAATAATTGAATTAATACGAAGAATGTTATAAAAAATTTTAAATAATTAATTGTTTTCAAAAAAATTTATGCAAATTCTATTTTAAATAATTGAATTCCTTTAGGAAACTTTATTAAAATAGTGGATATTAATAAACATTTTTGAAAATTGAATTGCGGCGAAGAATTTTACTATTTATAAAAATAATTTAAATCTTTTCGATAATTTAAAAGAAAATTTAAAAATAATTGAATTTATGCTAAGAATTACATTACTTTTGAAAATACATAATTGAATTCTGGTGATGAATATTGTTATTAATTAAAATAATGGAATTAGAAAGTTCTATGAGAATTCAATTATTTTTAACAATACAAAAATAAATAATTTATTGAATAATTCAATGTTTCTCAAAATTGAATTCTCATAAAGAATTTCATCAACAAATTTTTAAATGATTGAATTCTTTTGACGAGTTTTAAAAAATTTTTTAAATAATTACATTTTTCAAGGAATTTGATTAAAATTGTATCAAAAATAGGATTGAAATTCTGCGATGAGTTTTATTATTTATGAAAATAATTGAATTCCTAAAAAGAATGTTATTATTTATGAAAATAATTAAATCCCTGAAAAGAATCTTAATTTTTGTGAAAATAATTGAATTATTGCGAAGAATTTTATTAAAAAGTTTTAAATAATTCTTTTTTTTAATTTATGCGAATTCTATTTTAAATAATTGAATTCGTGTGCACTTTTTATTTATAAAAATAATTGAAATTTTGCCAAGAATTTTATTAAAATTTTGGAAAATAATTGAATCTCTGTGAACAATTGAATATTTATGAAAATAATTGAATTATTGCGAAGAAATTTATAAAAAATTTGTAAATAATTGAACTGCTATGAAGTTTTTATTATTTATAAAAATAATATAAGGTTAATGTAGAATTTCATCAAAATTTTTTTTAAATAATTCAATTCTTTTGGAAAATTTTATTAAAATAGTAGATTTGGAAGAGAATTTTTGAAAATAATTGAAATTTTGCCAAGAATTTTAATAAAATTTTTGAAAATTATTGAATTGTGGAGAAGAATTTTATTATTTATAAAAATAATTGAAATTTTGACGAGATTTTAAAAAAATTTTCTAACAATTGAATTTCTGCGAAGAAATGTATAAAAAATTTGTAAATAACAGAATTTCTGTAAAATTTGTATTATTTACGAAAACAATTAAATGTTTGCGTAAAATGTTATCAAAAATTTTGTTAAATAATTCAATTCTTTTGGAGAATTTTCTTAAAATAGCAAACGCGATTTTAAAAATTTCAAAATTTGTTCGAAAATTATAAAATTAACAAAACAATGTTATAATTCATGAAACATTAGTTTTTGAAATTTAAAATTAAAAATTATAATTCATGTAAAGATTCACAGCGCTATCTATTTAATAACACCTGTACTTTCACGACTTTACGACTCCACCCACGGTTCAAATTTTAAATTGTAACGGACATGCAGAAATCAATTTATGTGTACCTTACATGAAGGAAAATAATAGAATATTTTTGCAAAGCAACATTGCCTCTTAAATACTATGAATACAAAGCAAAACAGAAAATCCGTTTCAAAAACGAATAAAACATGTAAACTGTCATAATGATCCAAATTCCAATGTGTAATAATTCACTTGGATCAAAAAATAGCGCACATTTTTTTTATCGCCCCGTAAAAATTGAGCACAGTATTAAATAAGAAAAATGCATTTACATTTTCAAGTCGAATTCACCCGTTTAAGTCAACAATTCGTTTTAATAAAAAATGTAAACAATGCAATGCAACAGGTAGAAATGTCAAACAATGATCAATAAAAATTATCTCAAAGAGACTTACCAATATACTTCTGGCACTACGTAGTGTATCTCGTCTTCGAACTCTTGATTGAAAATCCCTCAATACGTGTAAATAATTATTCTCCTTGTCGTGAAAACTATTAAAAGACTTCCTTGACACTTTGAGACTTCTTCGACGTGACGCCATTTTTGTTCCAACTGTTGTTGAACGTTGTGAAGCTGCTGCTTTACCGCCAACTTCACATTGAACTCAATCTCGATTCTCCATTCGATTTCATATCGAATTTAAAAAAATTGCGACGTCGCCGGTAAATCTATTGTAAAATTTCTATTAATGAAACATTTCTTTTTGTAATGTATATTACATGCGAATGTGGAAAATATCCAGAAAAATCTAGGTACAATTTTGTTTTTATGGATATTAACAAAGTGATGGGGTACAACGTGCACGTGCAAGTGACTCAAGCGACTGAAACAGTAAAGAAATTTATGATGTACTTACAAGTAGATTTTCTGCACTAAGTGGAATTTTTCATTCTTGCGATGTTTCTTTTCATAGTCACACAACATATTTTAGTTAATATTCTTTTTATCACTACTATTCGGGAGTATTTTTTGAGCAGGTACTGAAGGAAAAGTCAATCGGACGCCATTTTGTTTCTATACACTTCTCGATCGAGAGTACATATCTCGAACGTATCGATTCCATAACGTTTGAAAAATGGCGGGAAACTAACCTAAAAAAATAATAATAATGAATAATTATAAATAATAATAAATAATTATAAATATTTATACATCATTAATAAATAAAAGTATAATTGATATATTAATAATAAAATGTTGTCTGGTAAATTATAGAAATAAAAGTATTCACATAATTGTTTGCTTTTTTTATAAATGCACTTTTTTATGTCTGACTGCAAAAGTCTTTTACTACTTGCTATCCATTGTTAGTGATAGTCTCTTTTTATAGTCAGCCAGTAGTAATTAATTTCTTTTCTTCTAATTTTTATTATTTATAAATTAATTATAGATACTTTTATTTATGATTTAAAAACAATTTTAAAAAAACAATTTTTATGCAGTAAATCCTTTTTATGTAAATATTTTTAACATTTTATTATTAATTAATAATTATATCTATGAAATTAGAATTCACAAAATAATTGTACTGAATAATTATCGAATTTTTTTTTAATCAATAATAAGAAATATATCAAATAATTTAGAAAATATCTTCATTATATAATTTAATTTATACACTGAAAAAAAATTTTATTTGATTCAAATAACCGATTAATTTACTATTATCAATTAAATATTTAATTGACTCAAATAATATTTATTGGAGTCAATTAAATTATATTTGCTTCAAATATTGAAATTATTGGTACAAATTCTAATTTTTAGAATATTTTCGAAAATTTGAATTTTCCATTTTTCAATAGTATTTGGAATTATTAATATTCTAAATTTTTATTATTCATTTTTCATTATTATTTCATTTATTTATTATTAAATTTATTTTTTAATATATTTATTTTTTTTATTAATTATTATAAATAATAGAAAATAAAACAGAGAATTATTAAATAACTAAATACAAGCTTAAAAATTAATGCACAAAAAATTATAATAATTATTTTTGTTGATTCTAAAAAATAATATTAATTTCTATCATTATAAAATAGAGCACACTAAAACTTCCGTGTCAATATCTTTATTTAAAGATCAATCTTCTTTATAATTGTTAAATCAAATAATATATTTTTAATGTATATTAAAACCAACATGGAAGGGTGGTGTACAATGCAATATCGGCGAGCGCAACAACTCGCTGGGCGAGACGCAAGAGCGCTTACCTTTGTACAAAAACTATAACTAATATAATATATTTATATATAATATGCATATACCATGTAGGAACAATGACTTCGAGTCATTTTGCCGTCAAGTCTTTTTAAAAGAATTATTTTTCAAATTAGAAAAATCCGCCAAAATACTCAATTTATATTATTTTATAACTCAGAAGAAAAATAAAGGAGTAATATTGGCAAAAATATAAAAATTCTCGTAGAGTTACGCAGTCAGTTCGATCATCAGTCCACAGGACATTTCAAATTTTTAGTCCAAATCTTTTATCTATTTCACAAATAGTTTTTTCTAAAAAAAAGAAAATAGTCGAAAATCGACATATTTTTATTATCATTCAAAATTAATTTTTTTTTCACAATTTTTCGATTAATATTATTATTAATATTTCGCAGTTTTTATTTTATTATTAACATTTCAATATTATTTTAGAATACTATTATTTGAATATTATTTTAAAATAATATTAATATTTAAATACTATTAGTATTTTAATGTTAAATAAAAATACTATTAATATTTAAATATTAGTTTAAAATACCATTAGTATTTAAAAATTATTGTAAAATATTATTAGCATTTAAATATTATTTTAAAATACTAATGATCTTAAAGTTCTGCACGTACAATGAAAGAAATATAATTTTTTTTTCAAATTTTTATTACAAAAATTTTACGACTTATATAAAAAAAATTGAATTATAAAGTTTCTTAAATGTTAAATTTCTGTTCTTGATTTTTGTTGCAATCAGTAATTTCCGAAAATATTTCGTTTATTTCATTCAAAACTTATGGATTATAAAAAAATCACTATTTAAATACTATTAATATTGGAATTATTTTACAAGAAATATTAATAATAATATCAATTCGATTACAATATTAATGTTAATATTTTGATATAAATGTTACCTTGTAGAAAATGTACTTCGCTATACATTCTAAACGCGGAAAATTCTCTATAAAAAATGTTTCAATTCCCAGCTCGGGATTCGAATCTTATTTGATTTTGAAAAATTCTCAAAGTCAAAAAGTCTTTTTTTTTTGTCTCAAAAAACACTGGTTTTCTTCGTAATTCATTTTTATACGATAGAAAGTCGTCCCATTTTAGGAAAGCTTTTACAAAATTTTTTTATTTAAGTGAATAAAGTAAAAAGCTGGTCCATTTTTTTTTTAGTATCGTCGTGATATGAGTTTCTCAAAATCACTGCTAGCGCATGGTATCTATAATATATAACTATACACCTACAATAGTTAACAAGACAAGTCCGCAGTCCGAGATGATCGGGCTGAATTTTTAATCGATTAATCTTACGATAAGTTTATCTTAAGTAGTGTGTGTATGTTTACGTTTTTTTTCAGAGTTGAAACGAAATTTGTGTTTTTGTCTTCTCGCTGAGACGCAACTCTTTTTTTTTTTTTAATCTGAGGAGTGGTGCTAAAACTTTTTCTGTTAAATGCGATTCATCTCGAATTTTAACGACAGGGCAGAACGTCTGAAACTCAGTTCGATTATTAAATAATTACGAAACTCAGTTCGATTATATTTCTATAATAATACTCTGTTATTCTGCACTCTCGTTTTGTTTGCTTTTTTTTGATTAAATGCGCAACGACGAATTCCGGACGATCTGCAATTTTTGTTGTTGTCCAATAGCAAAAAGTGTCAGTGTCGATTTAAATGGTATGTATAAAATATTAATTGGCATTCAGTAATATATTTTTCTAGTCTTATTGCCTCGATTGTTTCAACTATTTTTTTCTTTCAAGTTTTAACAAATTTCAACTAAAGTTCGTTTTCTTTCAACGAAAATTTGAGACATTTTTTAAAAAGTACATTAATTGAAGTTAACTTATAGGGGACGGATGTTGGAAACACATCGAAATGTCCACGAAGTATGGAAATTTTTTCTTTGGAAGTTTCGGATATTTGGAATAATTGAAAAAAACACTTGTGAACTAAAACAATCTTAAGCAAATAGAAAAAAAATTTAAACAATAAAAATTGTTTGCAATTGTAAACAAAGAGAAATTTTGAAATTCCAAACAATTTCTAAAAAGGCAGAGTTATTTAATTAAATTGTAGAAAAGAAATTTTAGAAAAAGGGCACTTACTGCGAACAACAACTGTTATTTGGAGGTATTTTCAAGGAAGTTGAGGAAGAAAAGTCTGTGGTACAAAAGACTTATATCCAAGGAATTTGGCTCTTCATTCACTTTTTAAGTACGTGATTTTCACTCTCTAGAGTGAAAAAAATTGAAAGTAGAAAAAATTGTTTTCTAATCTGCTAATAATTGTGCAATAGCACTGAAAGTTTTTTTCTTCTTCTTTCTATAAAAAATAGAAATGAAAATTCGGTATTGTTTCAAAAAAATGGGATCCATGTCCCTCAAAAAGTCAGTCAATAAGCTCTGTGTATCAGTTTGGGGGGGAAATTGTGCCTAATCCACTCCTCCAGATTCTTCATTAGCCCCTCATCTCAATTACAACTGTGATTCGGGAATGTAAAATACGTCGACAAGATCAAAAAGAAAATTATTTTTTTTTTGTAGTCTGGTATTCTCGTCATTCTATATGGCAACATTCTTGAAATTACAAAAAATGCGAACGAAGGCAGATGGTGATTATGAATTCAGGCCTTGGCGCTTTTCCTCCTCGAGCATCGCGTCCAGCTCATTCGTAAGATTTGTCAGCATGTTACCGATATCATTTAAAACGTCCGCAGGCTCTCCACCACTCGTATGATGATTCACCAAATTATTTCCAATTGTGCCTGCACTTCCAACGTATTCCTGGGCCCTTGCCGCTCTCTGCTTTATCGTACCGGCATTCTCGTTGGCGAACGGCAGAGAATCCGATTCCGTGCTAGAGCTCGACTGTTTCAAACAGAAAATGAGAAAAATTAATTTTTATAGTACATGAAAAAAATATTGTTTAGCGAATTACAATTTTTTAAATACTCTTTTTTTTATTAACATAATCTACATTAATGATTTTTGTTCCAATAAATTCAAATTTTTACTAATTTAGATTTATTTAGATTCAGAATTATTATTTACTTTTTCAGAGAATAAGTTTTATACACAGAAAGAGAAAAACTATAATAAACTTTGTAAAAGTATTTTACAATTTGGGGAAAAAGTGCAACAAAGCAAAATTTTTTGATATAAAAAATACTAAGCTTTAAAAAAACTCATGTGAAATTTAGCAAAGTTAGATTAAAATTTAATTAATATTCAAAATACAATCATACTAAAATATAAATAAGTATTTTTAAACTTTAGTATTTGTTACATCAAAATTTCTCTTTGTCGCATTTTCTCCACAAATTGTAAAATACTTTTACGAAAGTTAATATTTATTCTCTCTCCGTTAAGAAATATTTTCTCGATAAAATTTTATAAATTATATCATTTTCTGTAATTTTACGGTAATAAGTGAACTTTTTAATTTTAAAAATTAAACTTTGTTGAAAAATTTTTATGAAAAAAATAATTACCTAAAAATAAAATTTGTAAAAATACAAATTCAATTGTTTCGAAGAAAATTTAAATTCTTTCAAGGAATTTAATTAAAATTGTACTAAAAATAATTGAATTTTTTGGACAAATTTTTTTAAAATCTTTAAAAATAATTCAATTCTTTCGAAGAATTTCATTTAAATTGTACTGAAAATAATTAAATTCCTGTCAAGAATAATATTATTCATAAAATTAATTAAATTTTTAAGAAAAATTTTAATATTTATGAAAACAATTGAATTCTTGCGAAGAATTTTAGAATTCATGAAAAAATTGAATTCTAGCGAAGAATTTTATTCATATTTTTGAAAATAATTAAATTCTTTTGAAGGAATCTTTTATTCATGAAAATAATTGATATCTTGCTAAGATCGTCATGAACGATTTTATTATTTTTGAAAAGATTTTAATTCTTAAGAAGAATTTTATTATTCATTGAAAAAATTCAATTCTTGCGAAGAATTTCATTTAAAGTTTTAAAAATAATTGAATTGATCTGAAGAATTTTATTCAAATTTTTGATAATACTTCAATTATTTTGAGGGATTTAATTTAAATTTTGAAAATTTGAAACTCTATAAAGAAATTTTTTGTGGAATTTAGTTAAAATCGTATTGAAAATAATTGAATTTTTATAAAAAATTGTATCAAAATTTTAGAAAATATTTTAGAATTTTTTTTGTCGAATTTCCTTTAAATTCTATTGAAGATAATTAATTACCTGCGAAGGATTTTATTATTTATGAAAATAATAAATTAAATTCTAGCAAAGAATTTTATTTATGAAAATAATTGAATTTCTTGCAAAGAATTTTATTTATGCAAATAATTGAATTTCTTGCGAAGAATTTTAGAATTCATAAAAAAAAATCAATTCTTGCGAAGAATTTCATTCAAAGTTCTGAAAATAATTGAATTGATATGAAGAATTTTATTAAAATTTTTAATAATACTTAAATTCCATCGAGGAATTTAATTTAAATTTTGAAAAATCATTCAACTCCATCAAGAATTTTTATAAAAATTGTATTGAAAACAGTTGAATTCCTACGAGGAATTTTATTATTTATTAAAATAATTGAATTTATATCAAGAATTTTATTAAAATTTCGAAAATAGTTTACGTATTTCGATTAATGAAATTCTTTAGCGGAATTTAATTAAAATTGTATCGAAAATAATTGAATCCTTATAAAAAATTGTATCAAAATTTTGGAAAATAATTGAATTCTTTTGGGGAATTTCATTTAATTTGTACTGAAGATAATTAAATGCCTGCGAAATTCATTTTATTTTATTTTATAATTAATGATTTTATTATTAATGGAAATAATTAAATTCCAGCAAAGAATTTTATTTATAAAAATAATTAAATTCCATCAAAGAATTTTATTTATGAAAATAATTAAATTCCAGGGAAAAATTTTATTTCTGAAAATAATTGAATTACTTGCGAAGAATTTTAAAATTCATGAAAATAATTGAATTCTTACAAAGAATTCTATTTAAAAAATATTATTAATGAAAGTAATTAATGATAATAATAAATTAGTTAATAAACGAATTTTTAATAATTTTGAATTTGAAATCATTCAAGAATTGAACTTAATATTCTAAAATAAAAAAAAATTGAAATTGTCATAATAATAGTAAAAGAAGTACCGCGTTTGCTAATATAATTTTAATTTTTTTAAAAAAATTTTTATCGTAACATGTCAAAAAAATCAAAATATGTAAAAAGAAAGTTAAATTTATAATTAGTTGGAATTGTAAACTTACTTTGAAACTAGCGTCGGATCCATTACGATGCTGCAGGGCAAGAGTGGCAATGAGCTCGTGTTCTTCATTGACACTGACGCTGACACTTCCCCAGGAACGTGACATGGAGGAAGGCGGCCTACTGAGTTGCGGCGGTGTCGATGGAGGCGCTGCTGGTGCAGGTGGTGGCGGATGATGATGGTGATGAAGATGATGATCATCGCACGTTGCAGTTGGAACGGGACCACTGCAATCTATCACAACATCGCCTACATTATTACCACCGCCAACATTTGTTCCCATATCTCTGGAACTCTGTCGTCTCGGCGGTGATGGAGGACGTCGTTTCGATAAGTTAGGACTACTTTCCAATCCGTACGTCAGCTGATATTTATTATCAACAAAATCTCGTGGCAGTGATTTAAATTGTCCCGGTGTTGCTACAACCTGAAAAAAATTTTTCCATTATTCTCCTTTCGTTCTAAATTCACTTCCATATTTCTAAAAATTTCCTCTCTCCTTATATTAACTTATTCATTCTCTGAAATTTTGAATATTTTTATAATTATTCACTGTTATTTCCAAATTATTTACTATTTCTTTTATTCTTAATATTCACTATTTTTCATATTTAAAAAATACGTAACATTTTACGATGAAAATACAACTTTTTTTTGCCAGAATTATAGTTTGGAGTGAAAAAAAATCAAGTTGACCAGTTCGGAAAGAGAAAAAATTCTTTTTTTTTTTTTGATAAAATTACCTTGGCAACGGGTCGGGGTCGAACGAGACAGTGTCTAGGTCTGGGAAGAGTTCCACCTCCAACTTCGATGATAGAGCCTTCGTTGGTTGGAGTTAAATCGCCGTCTTCATAACTTCGCGGCCTCCAATCGACGGGTTGAGGATGTGACACGGGTGCGGGTGATGGTGGATAAGTAACAGGAGCGTCTTCTAAACTTTCGAGAGACTTTCCTCGCGAATTCCCCCGACCAACTGTATTATAATCCAGCCCAGCTGGTAGTGCGGCATACATGCTCCTCCACGTTGCGTTCGAATTGTTTTCGTTGCCGGCTCTTTGGAAAGATCTTAATACCGGCGACGAGCAGTCTTCATCGGGCGATGGCAAGTCAGAACCACCACGTTGAATGACAACATCCTGCAAAATATTCTAATTAATGTCTATTCAAATTTTCCCCATTCCAATAATTCTTTTGTTTTCTATTTAGTTTCATTTGAATATTAAAATTAAAGAAAAATAGAGTACATTCGTAAGAGAATTTTTTGAAAATTTAAATTGCATCTAAACTAGGCATTAGATTACATTTATTTATGAATTTCTTTAATTGAAAAATTATTCAAAAACATCAATAATCTTTTTTTTTAAATAAACATTTAATAATTATTATTTTTCCAGATGAATTAAGATTTTCAAAAATTCCAAATTCAAACCTTTGAAATTCAACAACTTATAAGAATATCATTATAAAACAAGAATAAATAGATCACTCCGAGTCTTCGACGCGGAGTAATCGATTTCTTCATGTTTTATAATAATTAAAGATGACCGATTGATGAAGTCATTATTTTATATAAATGTAGTTGATTTTTCTTCCATTGTTGAATTTTGTTAATATTCTTTTAATCGATTATCAGAAGAGTAATAAATGAAATACTATTTTATTAGATGTGCAACGTTTCATCATTATTTTATATTATCAGAATATTGTTACTGTAACTTTTTCAAAATTATTTTCATCATTTCAATTAAATTACTATTTTCTAGAATTTTTAACTAAAATTCTTCTTTAAGTCAATTTTTAAAATAATTCTTGAAAAAGTTCTTCGAGAATTTTCAAGACCATTTATTTACAATTCAATTTTACGAAATTTCAATTAATCAGAAATTCTTTAATTAAATAAATATTGGAAAATAAAAACCTCAAATAATTTCAACAAAAATTTAATTAAACTTCTTGAAAAAAAAATTATTCTACAGGATTGTTAGTTAAAAGTATGAAAAACTCAAAAAATGAAAGATTTTAATTTAAAACGATTTTAAAATTCAATTATTTCAAAAAATTCATGCTGTAATGCTTTTAATATTCAATTTTTATCTAAAATTTTGACTAAAATTCATTGTTAAATAAATTTTTATTAGAAAATTCTACGAGAATAATACGATTATTTAAATAGAAAAATAATTTATTGAATAATTGAATGTTTCTTAACATTAAATTCTCATAAAGAATTTTGTGAACAAATTTTTAAATACTTGAATTATTTCGGCGAATTTTAATAAAATTTTTAAGAATAATTACATTTTTCGAGGAATTCCATTAAAATTGTATTAAAAATAATTTAAATTCTGACATGCATTTTATTATTTATGAAAATAATTGAATTTCTAAAAAGAATTTTATTATTTATGAAAATAATTAAATCCCTGGAAGGGATTTCAATTTTTGTGAAAATAATTAAATTATTGGGAAGAATTTTATAAAAATTTTTTAAATAATTGATTGTTTTACCAACAAAATTTATGCAAATTCTATTTCTATTTTTAAATAATTGAATTCTTCTGGAATTTTTGTTTATTAAAATGATTAAAATTTTGCCAAGAATTTTAATAAAATTTTTGAAAATAATTGAATTTCGGAGAAGAATTTTATTACTTATAAAGATAATTGAAATTTTGAAGAGAATTTTTGAATATTATTTTTCAACATAATTGAATTTCTGCGAGGTATTTTATGACTTTTGGAAATAATTGAATCATTATGAAAAATTTTATTAAAATTATTGAAAATAATAAAATTCTTTTAAGAGATTTAATCAAAAATGTATTGAAAATAATAAATTTAATAAAATTTTTAAGAATAATTGAATTTTTTGAGGAATTCATATAAAATTGTATTAAAAATAATTAAAATTCTGCGGTGAGTTTTATTATTTATGAAAAAAATAATTGAATTTCTAAAAAGAATTTTATTATTTCTAAAAATAATTGAATCCTTGTAAAAAAATTTATTATTATTATTTTTTCATAGTTTATGAGGTAAACAAAAAAAACATTAAAATTCAGTGTTTTCTTATGAATTTTAAAAATTCAATTTTTTCCAGTACTTTTAGTAAAAATCCCTGACTTTTCCCTGATTTCCCTAACCTGTGGTTCTTAAATTCTATTATTTAAATTTTCAATAATTTTTTAAATTAAATACTTAAATGCTTGATATTTGATTTTACACAAGAATTTAAATTTTTTTAATTCTAATTTCAAACCTTCTACAATTTAATACTTTATAAATATTAATACTTTAATTCTTCAAAATTTATTTATTTTCTAGAATTTTTAACTAAATTTCTTTTCTAAATCTTAGAAAACTTCTATTGTAAAATAAAACAAAAAATATTTCAATTAATTAAGAAGAATATATCAATATATTTTTCAGGTAAACAAAAAAAGTTTACCTGCGTTTGTCCTGGATGTGGTGGAAGTCGAGCCAAATCCAACGGTTGAATTCGTTTACCGGCACGAATATCCTTAACTCGTTTAATCGCCAAAAGAAGTTTCTTCTGATGACCAAGTCGAACGATACCAATGTCCTCGAGATCCTCCCACGTGAGAGTCGTAACATCCTCAACGGAACGCATACCCTGTTGATGAAGAGCACCAAGATATTCCTCGAGTCTTAATAACCTCAGCCACTCTTCCAATGAACCCGGAACATGTTCTGGCAGACCGTCTCCTATATTTAAATTATCTATTTCCGCCTTCAGTCGTTTCCTATGGTTCGGCTTCTTAATACCTGCAAAACAATTTTATTTTACTCACAATTCTTTTTTACATACAATTTTTTACAAATTACAATTTATTCTTTTACATTTATCTATTTTTCTTTTACTAAAACATTTTTTCCTAAACTTTTATTGAAGATAATGAAATATTTCAAAAGAAATTTATTGAAATTTTTGAAAATACTATTATAAATACTATTATTATTAGTAACTAATTTTATTTTTAAACTAATTAAATTTAGATAAACAGATATAAATCTTATGTTGTAAATAAATATATAAATTAATTAATTAAAAAAAGAAAAGAAGAGAAAGAAAAAAGTATTTCTGATTAAAAACCGCAATAAAATTACCTATAGCTGTGAGATCCTCGGGGGTCATTCGAGTTATAGTAGCGAGATCGTAGCCAGCAGAAGCAAATAATGGAAAGTACTCCTCGAATTGAAGCTCGGTTAGCCAAGCATGAACAACATCGAGATCTCCAGGTCGGTCGGGATGACTTCCAAGTGAACTAATGGAACATCTTGGTGATGATGTGAGTGTGCCGTGTCCTCGGGGACCTAAATGATATCCAGAAGCTCTTCCAGAATCAAGAGACGCTGTCGAGTGCCTTGAACCAGATCCAGAACCAGAACTCCCAGGACTATCTCTTCCGGGGCTTTGTGTCATGTCGATGCCTAGTGAAAAAAAATTAACAAAAGCAAAACTCGTTAAACACATAAATATATTAATTCGCTTTATCGTCAATCCGCTTATCATCATACAAACGTACATGTCTCTAATTGCGGAAATTGTATATTTCAATTATTCTTCGCTTCTCAAACTCATTAAATTTTATTCTACCTATTTATTTTAATAATTTTATTTATTTAACTAAATTATTAAAGTTTTCTTTTTTTTTAATATAAATGAATTTGGTTAGTGAAAAATCAGAAAAATTAATAATTAAAAAATAATTCACTTTTTTCATGTTTTATATTAATTAAATATGACCGAATAATATTTTCATCATTTCAATTCAATTATTATTTTCTACAATTTTTAACTAAAATTCTTCTTCAAATCAATTATGTATTTTTAATAATTTTTGAAAAAGTTCTTGGAGAATTTTCAAATTTATTTGTTTACAATTCAATTTTCCGAAATTTCATCGATTATTTGGAAATTCTTTAATTGTATATTAGAAAATAAAAACTTTAAATAATTTCAAAAAGAATTCAATTAAACTTTTTCAAAAAAATGTATTCTACAGAATTCTACCTTTTCTAAAATTTTAACTGACATTCATTTTTAAATATATTATTTTTATTAGAAATTTCTACGAGAATTCAATTATTTAAATATTTATTTATTTTTCTCAAAACTAAATTCTCAGAAAAAATTGAATCCCTATAAAAAACTTTTAATTTTTGTGAAAAAATTGAATTATTGCGAAGAATTTTATAAATAAATAATTGATTGTTTTCAAAAAAAAATTTATGCAAATTCTATTTTAAATAATTGAATTCTTGAGAAATTTTTATTCAGGAAAATAATTGAAATTTTGCCAAGAATTTTATTAAAATTTTTGAAAATAATTAAATTTTGGAGAAGAATTTTATTATTTATAAAGATAATTAAAATAAATTTAAAATTGAAATTTTGAAGAGAATTTTTAAAAATTTTCCAACATAGTTGAATGTCTGCGAGAAATTTTCTTATTTTTGAAAATAATTAAATTCTTTCAAGAAATTTAATAAAAAAATGTAGGTATTGAAAATAATAAATTTAATACAATTTTTAAGAACAATTACATTTTTCGAGAAATTCGATTAAAATTGCATTAAAAATAATTAGATAAAATTTTCCCAAGAAATTTTATTATTTATGAAAATAATTAAATCCTTGTAAAAAAATTGATTATTTTTAAAAATAATAGAATTATTGCGAAGAAATTTATAAAAAAATTTGTAAATAATTGAATTCCCGCGACATTTTTATTATTTGTGAAAATAATTAAATTTTTGAGTACAATTTTATCCATAATTTTTTTTAAATAATTGAAATCTTTTAGAAAATTTAATTAAAGTAGTCGATATTGAATATCATTGAATTGAGGAGAATTTCTGCAAATAATTAAAATTTTGACAAAAATTTTATTAAATTTTTGAAAATAATTGAATTTTGGAGAAGAATTTTATTATTTATAAAGATAATTGAAATTTTAAAGAGAATTTTATTATTTCTGAAAATAATTGAATTTCTTTAATCATTTCTAACTTCTCCTAAATTCCATTTTTTAGTGTTTTTATCTAAAATTATTCTATAAATTAATTATTTTTAATTATTAATTCTTGCAAAGAATTTTAAAATAATTAAAATTCTGACCAGAAATTTTTAAAAAATTATAAGAATAATTGAATTCTTAAGAGAAATGTTTGTTTTAATAATAATTGAAATTCAGATAGATTTATCTCCGTGTATAAACATTTTAAAGAATTGGATTTTTTGGAGAAATTTATTAAAAATTGACATTTTAAAAAATTTTAAATTATAAACTTTTGAAATTCTTTATTCTCTATGAAAATTGTAAATGCTACTCTTATAAAATTTTTCTTAAAAATTTTTATTATTTTTAAGAAAATAATTAAAAGTTTGCGTAGAATTTTATCAAAATTTTTTTAAAATAATTGGATTCTTTAGGAAAATTTTATTAAAATAGTTAATATTAAAAATCATTGAATTGAGGAAAATAATTGAAATTTTGCCAAGAATTTTATTAAAATTTTTGAAAATAATTGAAATTCAGAGAAAAATTTTATTAAAATTTTTGAAAATAATTGAATTTCTGCAATTATTTCTAACTTCTCCAAAATTCAATTTTTTTTAGTGATTTTAACTAAAATCGTTTTATAAATCCATTATTTTAATCAATTAAATATATATAAAAAATTTTAACTAATTTCAGAAGAATTTGAATTATTAAAATTTTTCAAAAATCCACGTTCTTTGAAATTTCTAATTAAATTGATTCAAAATTCATGTTTGTTCTTTTGTTGTTTTTGCTTAGATTTCCCTGTAGTTTTCTTTTTAATTTCTTTTTAATCAGTAATTATTGAAAAAATACATTAAAAAAATATCCCTTTCATTTAAATACAATATTCATTGAATTAATTGAAAAAAAAATAGCGAGAGAATAGAAATATTCTCCATACACGAACAAATAATAGAAAATTTTTTCATTTTATCAAAAAGATAGATCTTGTGTATTGATACGAGTGTATGTGCAATCTCCAGCGATAAGTGTTCATTGATAGTGTCCAAGTTGTCTATTGAGTGAAATACTGGAGCACAAAGTGATCGTAAACAACTATTAAAGAGGTCGATGATTATCCTTGCTTTTATATACATATATATCTAAGACAAAAAGTGATCAGTTTCCTCATCTTTTGCTAATCCACTATAAGATTCGTATCTCTTCGAGAAATCACTGGTAATTTATGTTGGAAACAAATATATTAAAAGCTTTACGCATATAAAGTATTGAATTAAAACTGATCAAACTTTATATATACACGAGAAAATAGACATCTCGTGTATATAAAGAGAAAAACATGCATATTATGTGTTTGTGTATAAATATTCAAAGTGCACATTAACTGTACAAAAATATCCGTATTTTCTAAATTTAAAAATTTCCTTAACACGTTGAAAACAAATTTATATTATTATTGGAAAAATTTTTACGATTTTCTGATAAAACGTTTTCCGCTTTAAATATATAATAGTTACATTAGAACCAGTATTTTAAAATTAGCCGAGAAAAGAAAAAATTAATAAATTGTATTTTATTTCCACTCTAGAAATAGATTCCAAAAAAAAATAAAATTATCTAATTTATAATATTGTTCCTTAATTCAAATTAGTTTACATATATTTCAATTGAAAAAATCAAAAAGTAAACTTTAGTTATATTTACTAATTTGTAAAACTAAAGAAACATTTCCAGAAAGTTATTTACAAAATTAAAATTCAAGAATGCACTTTCAAATTAAACAATTTGCGCGAAAAATATTTTAATTTGAAAACAGAATTTCTAAATTATTCTGGAATTTATTATTTTTCTTTCTATATATGTATTTAAATATACGTGTATATGAATAACGGAAGATAAAAATTTTGCAAGTGCCATTATTTTAACGTTATTTCGTTAAAATTGTTATAAAGTATTTTTGCATCATGTAAAATTTAATATTTTGTCGTGGCATTATTTTCGATAATAAAATTCAACTATTAAAGGATTCATATACATATTTTCAGTGAAAATCAAGTGAAGAAACTCTTATTCTTTTCATTATTCACTATGTTATATGAATCAAGCGAGACAAAATTTATATACTCCCATAGTATTATTCAAGGGAAATAAATTCTTTAAAAATGAGAGAAAGATGCGGTAAAATTTATTACTCGTAAAAATATTTATTCTCTTGTATATATGTATAGAAGTCGAAAACTTTTGCGTCATCATTTTTAAACTACGATATAGATAGAAATTGAAAGAAGAAAAGGAATTTCTTTTTTGAAAGCAAAATCAAGAATTTGATAAGAATTATATTATTTCAATAACTAGCAAATGTTGAGAGCGAAACGGGGAGTTCAATTTAGTATTTTTATAAAAATTACAAAATTTCTTAAAAATTAAATTAAATTTTGGAATAATAGTAGATTCAAAATTATAAAATAAAATTTTTTCGAAGATTTCAATTATTTCCATAAATACTAAAATTCTTCGTGATAATTTAATTATTTTCAAAAATTTTCTCAAGATTTCAATTATTTTCATAAATGATAAACTTCTTCATAAGAATTCAATTATCTTTATAATTTAAAAAAAACTTTTCGTTAGATTTCAATTATTTTCACGAATAATAAATTTTCTTTCAAGAATTCAATTATTTTCAAAAATTTCACTAACGTCCATTTTTAATATTTCAATTATTTTCTTAAATAATAAAATATCTCGCAGAAATTCAAATATTTCCAAAATTTTTAATACAAAATTCTTCGAAATAATTAAATTATTATTAAAAATTATAATCAAAACCTTCGCAGTATTTCAATTATTTTCTTAATTAAATAATAAAATTTCTCGTTAAAAATTCAATTATTTACAAAAAGTTGAAAAAAATTTGTCGCAAAATTTCAAATATTTTCATAAATAATAAAATTCCTCGCAAACATTTAATTATTTTCAAAAATTTTAATTAATTAATTATTAAGATTTCAATTATTTTCAAAAATAATAAAATTCCTTGTAAAAATTCAATTATTTTCATAAATTATAAAAAATGTCTTCGCAATATGTCAATTATTTTCTTGAATAATAAAATTTCTAGTAAAAATTCAATTATTTTTCTAAAATTTTAAGAAAATTCTTTTCAAGATTTTAATTTTTTGCATAAACAATAAAAAAATTCAATTATTTTCTCTTAAAACTAAAATTCTTTAAAAAAAATTTGAATAAAATTCTTTTAATCGATTGAATTATTTTAAAAAAATTTAATAAAATCTATTCCAGTTTTTTTTTTTTTAAATACAATCCTTCCAAAAAATTAAAATATTTTTAAGAATTTCAGTGAAATTTTGTGCGAGAATGCAATTATTTTAAAAACTTCTTTTATAAAAAAGATTTTATAAAGATTTTATTACTTAAATAAAATAAATAAATAAATAAATAAAATTCTTTTGAATAATTAATTAATTTTTATAAATAATGAATTTCATTAACAGAATGAATTTTAAAATCTTTCAATTTTTAAGAAAAATAAAAATACAAATTGAGTTAGAATATTTTCTGACTTTATTAATTAGTTTTATTAATTTTGAAATTCAAAACATTTAAAAAGAAAAATTAAAAAAATAAAATAAAAATAAAAAACAAAAATGCATACAAAAACAACAAAAATAAAATAGTTTTGCATTAATGTTAATGTTTTCTCAGTGTAACATTACATTAATTTATAAATATAATTAATATTTATTTATTTAATTATATTAATTATTTATTAGAACAGTATAAAAGTGCTTTTGTCAAATAAATGTTAAATATAGCACAAAGTAGGTACACGAAGAGAGAAAAGAAGATGTTTTTCGATAAGTTTGTAAATTTACTGCTTGAGCGAAGCGAGAGCAAACAAAAATTTACAAACTTATCGGAAAATATCTTCTTTCCTCTCTTGGTACACAAAGTACTTTTTAACTTTCCAAAAAATTAACTAAATTGAATATAAATTTTTGAAAATATTTAAATAGAAAAAAATGTCTAACATTTGATCGCTCAAAACTCTAGTGGAATAAATAATTGAAATAAAAATAAAATAATTATAATAAAATAAAAATTGGATGAATATATAATAATTATAATCAATAATAATAAACATAAACAAATATAATAATCATAAATAAATAATAATTATAATCAATAATAATAAATAATTTATAAAAAATAATAAACAAAATAAATAATAATAATAATAAATAATTGAAAGAAAAATTGTTGAAGGAGAAAAATAATTGTTCCATTTATAATTCCGTTGTACACTGGCTCTATAAAATGAAATGAGAATTATCCATAGGGATTATAATTTAGATCGAGTATAGTTAATTTTCAGCGACTTGGAACAGAATATGACATGGTGTTGTAGTCATATTATAAATGGATTTATTTCTTTGACTGTATGTATGTAAAAACAAGAACGATCATGTGGTTCTTAATCTCGACGAGAGAAAACCAGTTTCTTTATGTATAGTGGCAAAATTGTTGCTGACCACATGCGAATTTCTAACTGTATAACCCGCTTGTCGTGTGCACATATATATATATATGTACCTTGATCCTCGGCGTGGGCGTATTTGCCGACGATCGGTGGGAAAGCGAAACCAGGGTGCGTGAAAATTGGCCCTGGACTCTTTCCCGATGGCATCCCATAGGAGCCGTCATCGCCAGCGCCTCCGCTTCCTGTGCCGCTCGACAAAAAGCATCCATCCTCACTGCTCGCGTATCCTGCTGAACCAAAGGACGAGCCGGAATGCCGGAATACATCGGGGACCGCCGGTGGTGCCACTTTCTTCACCTGGGTCACAGCTTTCGATGGTCGGTTCATTCCGCCAACTGGAAAAAAAATTCATTCACAATTAAATAATGAAAAAGAAGAAATTAGAAAATTTTATTTTTTATTTCTCCATGAGAGAGAATTTTACTCAACAAATAATAATTATTATTAATAAATTCTTTGCAAAATTCAATTATTTTCATAAATTGTAGTAAAATTCATGGCAAGATTTTAAATTATTTTCTAGAATAATAAAATTTCTCGAAAAAATATTATTCTCAACACTTAAAATATATTCAAAAATAATCAAATTCTCTGCTATAATTCAATTATTTTCTTGAATAATAAAATATCTCGCAGAAATTCAAATTATATTCATAAATAATAAAATTCCTCAAAAGATTTCAATTATTTTCATGAATAATAAAATTTTCTTGCAAAAATTCAATTATTTTCAAAAATAATATAATTTCTTGAAAGAATTCAATTATATTCATTTATATTTCAAAAATTTTAATTTTTATCGCAAAATTTCAATTATTTTTATAAATCACATACAATTCTTTCTGATAATTAAATTATTTTCAAAAAATTTAATTACATTGTTCTGAAGACTTAAAATATTGTTAAAAATAATAAAATTCTGTGTTAGAATTCAATTATTTTCAAAAATTTTAATAAAATTCATAGCAAGATTTCAATTATTTTCTAGAATAATAAAATTCCTCGTAAAAATTCAACTATTTACAAAAAATTTAATAAAATTTGTTCGCAAAATTCAAATTATTTTCATAAATAATGAAATTTCTCGCAAGAATTCAATTATTTTAAAAAATAATATAATTCTTTGTAAGAATTCAATTATATTCATAAATAATAAAATTCCTCAAAAGAATTAAATTATTTTCATAAATTAAAAAAAAAACTCTTCTCAAGATACTTAAAATATTTTTCAAAAATAATATAACTCTGTAGAATTTAATTCTTTTCTTTAATAATTAAAAAAACATAGTAGAAATTCAAATATTTTCAAAATTTAAAAAAAAAATATTCAGAATAATTCAACTATTATCAATAATTGTAATAAAATTCTTTGCACGATTTAAATTTTTTTTAATTTAAAAATTTCTCGCAAGCATATTCAATTGTTTTCAAAAATTTTAATTAATTTCTTATATAAAGATGTAATTTATTTTCATAAATAATAAAGTTCCTCGTGAAAATTCAATTATTTCCAAAAATTTTAATTGATTTTTTATCAAGACATAAATTATTTTCATAAATAATAAAATTCTTTCTAAAAATTTAATTAATTTTATAAATTTAAAAAAGTACTTTGCAAGATTCAATTATTTTCATGAAAAATAAAAATTTTCACAAGAAAACAATTATTTTCATTACAATCTTAATTAAATTCCTCGAAAGAATTTAATTATTTTCAATTATTGTAATAAAATTATTTGTAAAAATTCAATTTTTTTCAAAATTAATAAAATTCTTGTCAGGAAGTCAATTATTTTTTTTAATAATAATAATTTGTAGTGAAAATTCAATTACTTTTAAAAGTTTTAATACAATTTTTCGAAAGAATTCAATTATTGTAATAAAATTATTGTCAACAATTAAATTATTTTCATAAATAATAAAAATCTTCGTAGGAGTTCAATATTATTTCTATTACTTCATGAATTTTATTATATCCGAAGTAAATTTCAGTAAAAATTAGTAAAATTTAGTTCAGACTATGTAAAATGTACTATTAAAAATTTTTCTTCACAGAAAAGCTTTTAATATGTATTCAATTTTAGTACAAAAATTAAATATGAAAAAAGTAAAATTGTGCTATTAAAAATTTTTATTTACAAAGTAATTTGTATACAATCCAATCAAAATTTTAATAAAAATTAGTAAAACTTACTTAAATAAAATAATTAAAAATTATTTTCAACAATTTTCAATTAAATTTCAGAACTATAATAAACAAATAATTGTGGTAAAAAAAAATTGTCCTAAAAATTACTTAAATTAATAAAATTTAGTAATAAAATGTTTACTTCCAGAATAACTTCTTCTATATCCAAAGAGAATTTGTTTTTAAAAATTCCTTAAAATCTATTTTATTAGTAGTAAAATTTACTCTAAATATTTTTTTTTCTTCATTATAATTAAAAATTTTTGTAATTTATAAAAAAATGATAATTTCTGTTAAGTTTTTCGCTCTGAAAAAAGGGGGAAAGGGGAGTATATGCATAATTTTTGATGTTTTAGGGGATAAAAAGGTGATTATGTAGAAGAGGGGACTGATTGTTATCCCCTAAAAATTGTAGTTATAGTAATATAGTAATTATAATATTTATTTTTATGTTAAAACCTTTTTTAATTATTTTCTAATAAAAAAAATTAAATAATAATAATCGCGTAGTAATAAAAATAATAGTTATAATAGAAACAGTAGCGAAGTGTGAAAAGAAGATTCGACCCCGAAAATCTAAAATTCTAAAAAGCTACACATAATTATAGCTTTTCACTCCCAAGTGAAAGTTTATAAAATATAAATAACGTTACAATAAGCCCCATCTTTCTGATTTATATATTAGACATATATACACATGAAAATAATAATTATCACGAGGTAAATGTACATTCGAGGCAAATGTCATTTATCTCTCCTTGTATATATTGATACAGCTATAATAAATTATTTATCCCATCATAATTCCTAATTCGAAGGAAATTAAAAATTAACAGTCCCGGCATTTGTATAAATATTTTTCAATTAAGGGAAATATTAATTTCCCTTTCTTCGCACCTTTCTATTCGTCGGCTATTTTTATAAGGAATTTTTCAAAGAATTTTATACTTTTATAATAAAATTAATTTTACTTACAATTTTACAATGCAATTAATTCAAAAAACGTAGCACTTTCTACATTGAGGCAAAAGTAACTGTTCCCCTTTTTTCAATGCTCGCTTTTATTGCTGTTGTATTATTCAAATATTTTATTTCCAGTTCATTTAAATATACCACTAAAAATTAAAATATACCATTAAAATTGTTGGTTAACATTGAAATAAAAAAATATTTAAAAGTAAAAATATGAAATGGAATTTTCTTTTCTGAGAAATTGAAAATCGACGAAGTGGCTTTTCCGACTGAAACTTATTTTTTTATTTTCTTTTTATTATTTATTTAATTTATTTTACTTCTTTTTATTATTCATTTAATTTTTTTATTTAGTTTATTTTATTTTTCTTTAATTACAAATTTTTTTTGCAACTGAAAGTTTATTTTCTTTTCTTTTTGATTTCTTCAAATTTTTATTTAATTCGATTTTTTTATTTTAACTTATTTTTATTTACCTCCAAAATTTTTTTCGGATAAAAGTTTATTTAATTTTAGTGTCTATTTTTGATTGTTTATTTAATTTTTTTATTTAGCTTATTTTAATTTTATTTAACTCCACAATTTTTTTGCGACTAAAAGTTTATTTTATTATTTTATTTAAAAAAATTTTTTTTATTCATTTTGCAGTTTTTATTTAATTTATTTTTAAGGGCATTTGAACCATGATGACGTCACAGATTTAAAACTAATGCTTTGCACAAACTGTGACGTCATCAAGGTTCAAATCCCCTTAATTAACTCCAAAATTTTTTTCTGATGAAAGTTTATTTAATTTTTAGTGTCTTTTTTTATTATTTATTTAATTTTTTTATTTAATTTATTTTTAATTAACTCCAAAATTTTTTTCTGATGAAAGTTTATTTAATTTTTAGTGTCTTTTTTTATTATTTATTTAATTTTTTTATTTAGTTTATTTTAATTTTATTCAACTCCAACATTTTTTTGCGACTGAATTTCTTTTTATTTCATTAAAAAAATTTTTTTTTATTTCTTTTGCTGTTTTTAATTAATTTATTTTTAATTAAATCAAAAATTTTTTTCTGCTAAAAGTTTATTTTATTTTTAGTCTTCTTTTAATTATTTATTTAATTTTCTATTTTTTTTAATTTTATTTAACTCTAAAATGTTTTTCTGACCGAAAGTTTATTTTATATTCTTTTTAGTTATTTCAATTTTTTTATTTAGTTTGTTGTTTTATTTAATTTATTTTTATTTACCTCCAAAATATTTTTCGGCTGAAAGTTCATTTCATTTTTAGATTTATTTCTATTAAACTCCAAAATTTTTTCCGAATGAAAGGTTATTCTATTTTTAGTTTTATTTCCATTCTTTATTTAATTTCTTCATTTAGTTCATTATTTTTATTTAGCTCCAAAAATATATATTAAACGTTTGCTAATTATTTTTAATAGCAACAATATTAACGTTGCTAACTATCGATTATTTTCAAATGAATAAAAAACAATCCACAATCACTATTATTAGAAAATAAATACTTTCAAAATTAATAACATATAATTAATCAATTACAGACGAAAATTGTCTTATATTTTTAATTTTTGAAACAAAATCCTACACACAGTAAAGATCACACACTATAATAGCGATAATTAATGTTTAGATTTGTAGCTAATTGAAAATAATCTTCCCTCTGTTCGCTCTTAATTGAAACAATTTTCAAATAATTACCGAAATAAATTATAAATAACTGAACACTATTCTTTTATTTCTCAACAAGTATACGACATTTATCGAAACTTATTAAAACAACATTTCAATCAACAATACTACCGTTCATTAATTACATCAATTACAAAATATACTTTACAGTTAATTAAACAACTTGACACTATCTTTATATTAAAACTATAATTCTAAATATCTCCATAATAAAACTGCCACACATCAAAATCATTTACAATATATAAAATAAACCGGTTTTTAAAGAATAATTCAATTCAAATTGACAACAAAAAAAAAAAAAAAAAATCGTAACGAAATTTTTGTTTCTATAAATAAAAGTATATAATAAAAGCACAACATGAAAATGGTTCTTTGAAACTTTCGTTTTGAATTAAACAAATCGTTCCCCTCCATATTGTAATTATAATGCAATGACAGAGCATTAATTTTATTTTTCAGACTCACTTATCA